GATGGATGGATGGATGGATGAGTGAACTGATGGATGTGGATCGTGGATGAAAGGATGGGAAAGTGTAAGAAGGGAGGGATAAAGATCGAGAGGTAGAAATGGATGGAAGAAAGGATGGAAGTAGTGTCATAGAGAATACTAGAAAGTTATAGAAGTACACCTTACCTTTAAGGTAGTTTACACAAGACGATATATATGAGCATTCAGTACCACCTGTTGCATCCAGTATCCCAAGTGCCTTGGCTATATCATGTTTATAGTACTTGTAACACAGTGACGACAGGAAAGTAACTGCTGCTTTAATAGGCTTGATTCCTGCATGTGCAACAGAAACAGACTTCATTTAATTCAGTTCAATGTTTAAAAGTTTCTCCCTGCAACTTTTTAACTCAGTAGCAAAGGTGGATAAAATTCATGTTGCACTGGTATTGGGTGTCAATCAAAGTATTTCTATGACCATATGGACTTTGATTGACATCTAGCTAAAACTCTCATCATGCACCATCATCATCATCCTCATCAACATCAGTTATCATCATCAGTCATCAGTCATCATCATCCTCATCAACATCAGTCATCATCATCATCACCATCATCACCATCATCACCATCAACACTATCAACAGTCTCCATCACCATCATTATTATTACAGGGTTAATATTCTTGTTATTACCAAGTTCTCTTGGCAGTGGAAGAAGACAGAGCGGGAATACTTGCTTGATAAATGATGTGTCTATCAATATAGTCTATGAGAGATAAYAAAAATAGAAAATGCACAATGCAAATAATTAAAAAAATCAATGAATGGCGCATGCATTATCAGCATATGTATCTTGAATGTGCACAGATGAAACAATAAAGTTAAAGTAAGTCATTGATTAGAGAGATCTGACAATGGAGGTTSGAGGAGGTCAAAAACAAAAGACAATTTTGCATAGACACGTATTTTATTGTAACCAAGTGTGGTGTAAATTATACAAAAGAAAGAAAGGGAGGAAGGGAGAAAGAAAGAAAAGGAAGGAAGGAAGGAAGGAAGGAAGAAAGGAAAAAAAAAGAACAAATGAATGAAAGAGTGAATAAAGGACCGAGGGAATTGGATGCTCATAATATCTTACCTCTTGGTGAGATAATGAGCTGCTGATTTCYATATCTGATAGACTGTCACCCATAATGTTCAAAAGATTTAAGCCWGCATCAACTGAAACCCAAAGAAATAAAGAAGGGCCATTCAAGCTTGGGTGTAATGTTTACCCAATTGAAACTGGTTTCTTGAGAATAAGATTCTTAGTTTGAGTTGTATCCATATTAATGTGTCTTCTAGTGTGCAACCGTTAAACAAAGAAATGATACTCTAGGGAATGACATGTGGTCTGAACGGGAAAACATTCTGSCCAACATAGAATAAGGATATCAATGGAATTTCTCTAGGTTAGGAAAGCTAAAGAGCCAAAGAGGTAACTGCTGTTGATTTATAATCCAGTACAGTTTGCATTACTGCTATTTTCAAAACTAAAACTCTGTAGCTGCTAGCTCTGCACGCTGGAATCTATTTTTTTGCTGTCGACATTCAAAAATGTGAAAGGTGCCGACTGATGAGGATTGATTGATGGCAACGAAAAACCAAATTTCAGCTTGTAGCTCRCAGCTAGCKTTTTCGCATGTTTATGGAAATAGAAGTAACTGTGGTCTACTAACTCTATGAACATATACAAGCATTTAAAGTTAAAGAATACCTTCATGCCTTGCCATCCATAAAACAGCCAAAATGAAGCAGGATAAAATGAATGGCACTGTCAGTAAAAGAAAGAAAATCATTATGATCAAGCGTTTCCATGGCTACATGGACATTTGTCTATTACAAAGATAGTGCTTGTTACTGGCTATGGTTGGCTATGGATGGCTATGGATGGGTTACGGGTTGCATAGCAGTGAGAGCTCACCTCTAAACGATGCAACCCAAGTTCAAGTCATGCCGGGCTTGGTGTCATAAGGAGTTGGAGTTGTTTGCTGGATCTCTACTGTGCTTATGAGAGTTTTTCTAAGGGTTCTCCAGTTTTTTTTCCCTTCACAAAAATCAACTCCACTAAAACTAAATTCCATATTGAGCAATTATTTAATTTGAATATATATATATAATAATAAATTACACTATAATTATAAAATACTGATAAAAGTTGTTTTAATAAACTATTGTAGACAATAAAAAAAACTAAATTCCAATTTGATCATGGATCGAGGGCCACACTAGTTCGTTAGCCCCTGGCTATTAAGTGCTTCCCTCATAAAAAAAAACAAGAAAGATTTTTCTTTTGTTTTCATATTTAACAAACCTGTGGCCCTCATTCCATGGTCAAATTGGAATTTTAAAAATTTATTTTTGTGGAGGGAGGAAAACCAGATAAAAACGCAGCTTGAAGTACAGGAGAGAATTCGCCATGGTTACCATGGTTACTGCGATTTTATGTGCCAGGCCCCTCTCATCCCACCGAGAAAGCACCTAATGCCAAGGTCATCTACTAGTGATGAGTTTAACCAAACATACCAAACCATGCCCAAGAATAACAAAATATTTCAATTCATAAACTAACCAAAAACATCTGCATTCTTTGTACTTTGTAGTAAATTCTCAATTAGTTGGATTACAGCTGTCAGTGTATCGYTGTTGAAGGTTTCTTGAGCTGAAATGACCTTTGATGACAACCAATCATCATTAGTAGCAACATCCAATGCTCGTGAAGCTGGAAATAACACAA